CCACCACCACCATCACTGATGACCAGTCAAACTACCAGTGGTCTGAACCCCATGATGCGGGCACGGGGACGAAGGCACCACCTCATCTAGGCACAGTGCCGACGTGGCGTAATTAACCGTAATTGGTGGGCCGCCGACACCGGAAAAACGTTGTAGTCGGGACAATTACGGCCTGATATTTTTTGTTGCCGGGCCGTGTTCACCCCTGACCTTGCTTCCCCCCCCCATAGATGCGAGAGGACGTGTCCTGTACATGCCCCTGATGACGGGCGTCGGAAATTTGCAGATGTTTTCCCCTGGATTTAACTAACAGGTACCCAGCCGCTCTCAAGGTCAGGGAACAACCGACCCGAGGCCTGCTGGCTTACTGGGGAAGAAGGGCTTCTTGCACGCACACGCTACAATGTGTGAGTAGATGTCATTTAGCGGAAAAAATACTGCAACACAATCTGCATGATTGAGGTGTCTTCATAAACGCAGTGTCAGCTTAACAAAGTAATGGTGAACTTGACAGCAAAATATACTGTTAATACCTCCGAGCTACTAATCCCATCCCTACCCCTTTCGGATTAAATTACCCCCAAAGTGGTCAGCCTAACTGCAAAGCACACTTCCTTTGGGTTGAAGGGCAGAATGTTAGCACCTCAATCATCTTTAATTAACTTCTAGCTAATGTCTCAACCAGTAATTTCAATATAACCTACCGAAACTTTTTCGTTCATAGAACAAGTACATTCCCACTGTCTCACGAATCCGAAGGGATACTACCACTGCTTCAGTGACACCATGAAAATGTTTGTTTGGTCCTTTTTAAATTAAACAGTTCTGCGGCAGGACACAGATAACGATTATTCTGTTATTCTTCACACTGTAGCTCCAAATATCTCGTCCTCTGACAGTGTATGGCGTTGACGCCATACGGAGGGGGGATAATCTGTCTGCAGAAACTGTTTCTTACGGTGCGACACGTAGACACGAATAGTATGCAAACACAGATGTTATCATAGATTTCTCCGACAAAATAGGGTCTAGCTTAATGGTGTAGGCAGCAGCTGTTACTTAGGACTGATCGCTTCTCCAAGCTTTTACAGGTAACTCCTATTCACAGTCTTTAAAACTAGAAGTGATTTATATGAAATAAATTTTTACAATGAAGGATCGAGGTTGAGGAAGATTGTAGAATGACACTCGCGTTGACACAAACACTCTCATGATGAACGAAAATATCCACGTACAAGAGTAAAAGAACGATATGCAGTCGGGTTCCCAGCGTGCATTACTGCTCACTGATATCAGTCGTTTTCTAGGCCATTCCCAGAAGGCGACCCCATGTACTCTGAACCTTTTGCCCGGGCCGGTAGTAACTCGGCCGTGCGGCGTCCGTCTACAGCACAAATTAGTCCAATAATTTTATTGGTCAGGACGACAACTGATGCAGTTAGCAAAAAAGCCTTCTCCCTCAGGACGAACTTTGAACGTTTATCACGCCACATTTTGATATGAGGCCGAATTCAGGAGGTTCCGCCACTTCAAACACTCCCCTGGCACACTACTTTCGGTTTATTATCAAGACCTGTGTGCGTGTTTTTTAGTTGGGCGGGTCACGGGAATATGGACAACCCTTATTACAGGTGGCGTAGTACAAAATTCCAAGGTTACGGTTATCGAGGCTAGCGTTATGGTTAGGAGAGTTAGGGTTGAATTTAGGACAAGGGACTGGATACAAACTGGAAGTGGGGGGCCCTTATTCCCTTGTTCGACCTTAATTTGTATTCCAGATCTGACCGCTCTGACTCGTCCTATTTGAATTCCGAAAAGTACGTTACGGTAATAGTAAAGACCTCTTTAAGCTTACTTCTTTGAAGTACCAGTAAACAGTCCACCCTCTACGTAGTCTCTTTTCCACAACCATAGTGCCTCGAGACCCGACTTCCACCAAAAGAAGGTCGTAAAGTTAGAGGCCACTTTTTATTCTAGAAGTAATGCCAGGTCTCGTCGTTTTATAAATACAGATGTCCGTTTTTTATAAGGAAATTAGATAACTGCAGCTTTTATCTCCAGAAAACCCCTAAAAATATAAATCTTAGGACTGCTTAGCAGTATCTGTAAAATGCAAACAGGCAAGAAGTCGAAAATAAGAAAGCGATCAAGTTCAAAAGTAAATAACAAGGAAAGTCATTTGCATTTCTGTTTGACTTATTTGTACAGCAGATGCTCTGAAAATGGCCAACAAATCCAGCTATTGGAAAAATTAGACGGCCAGACACCCACGATAAAGGCCAAACAGGTCATTCAGAGAGTAAAATGGGGAGAATGTATTCCCAGGGACCGAACACTACTTTTTCTAACGGTTACAAAGCAAACAAGTTAGTGTACTCCTCACAGAGAACACACTTTTCGCATTTATCCAGTTGCATCCTAGACGAAGGACCATCGTTTACGCGATTCCATAAGGACTCTTCGTTTAGCTAGCCCCATAGTAAAGGAATCAGTTTGCAATCTTGCGTTGTCTTCGAGGACTCAAGCAGTTGATAACTCTACTGGGTAGGCGAGAACGCTCATCGCTTCGAGATATTATGTGCCTTCCCCTCTTATTCTCTGTGAATATGCATGAACAAATATGCAAACAATATCACGGTCTTACTTTCAAT